ATTTAAATTTAGTCTCGCTATATTTATTGCAGAGTCCAGACACAAAAGGTAGTAACAAATAAAACATTGCATCTCTCTGATTTCTATATAATCAGTCAAAATAATGAAAATTTGTTATTTCATCCGATTAGTCTGATTTTCTCTCGGATTTGTCTGCGAGTAGATCGCAGACATTCCTGTCAGTGGATGTTGACAACAATGAACCTAACTACTCAACATGGTATGCACAGTGTAGTGTTATGAAGTATTGTGCATATATGTGAACTCTAAAAATTGACTTGTATACTGTACTACAGTGCAGTAAATATACAAATTTAAGGTTATGTCCAAGTCCCAAACCTCTTTTCTTGTCATTTTCTGCACTTGTCTTGCATCACTATATTATATCTCCCAGTCTTTTTAGTTTCTGTACCCATATGTCCAACCCACAAGAAGACTATTAGGTAATCTTGTCTGACGTTTTTTTTTTAGAAACTTCACTTTGCTTGTTGTTGCTGTTGTTGTTCTTGTAGCCCCTGCTTCATGTGGAGGTCTCTGGACCTCAGGTATTCAGATTTTGTGTAAGTCATTGAAAGATTGTGTGTCGATTAAATGTTGGGTATGTATGCGAGTTGTAATATCTAGGGTAGTGTGGACAGAATTAATTTTAGGTGTTGGTATAGGTTGACAGAAGGATAGTGTAGTCTCGCATGACATTGCTCTAAAGTAGGGGTGTCCAGCTTTTTTCATACAGTGCCACATTGTAAGTATTATCTCATATCGAAGACCATTGTGCGAAGTTTACAGATAAATCTTTGGTTTTCAGGAACTTATTGTATTGAAGTAAAATACAACATTACATATTTATATGTAAAATAGTGTAAAAATACCAGAGATTTTAAGACCTTCATTTATTCATGTTGTGAGCTATATTATAGCTGGTTATCGTTTACATTTCCACTCAGAGTCGCCTCTCTTTAACATCTTGCAGCAATTTGTGTCAGCATTTGTTGGCTGTGTGTGTGTGTGTGTGTGTGTGTGTGTGTGTGTGTGTGTGTGTATATACAGTAGTATTCTTTAAGTGACCTTTATTGCGCCAAAATAGACTGAATACGGTTACCAAATGTTCCCCGCTGTATTAATGAATTAAATGTATAAAATTACAGCAGTGTGTGTCACCAAGAAGTACTGTTCCATGAAACTTCCCTCAGCCCGAGCACAGTACATGTGATGACAGGTCTATTTCGTAAACAGAACAGAAAGAGATCTGTTTCTGCTCAAGTCCTGTCACTCAGTGTTGCCATTTTAGGGCTTGTGTCACCAAATTTAATGGGTTTTGAATAATTAGATGACAGTACAGTACTGAATTTTGTCATTAGTGTCAGTGGCATATGTGACTAAAACCCAGCACATATATGGATAATTTTTTGATTGCCCACAAATATGGAAATACAAATTGTTAAATTATTTTGAAACAAAAAAAATAAATACTTAGTGTAAATAAAACTTAATGCTCTTCACTTCTTGGGTTCTCTTCTAAGTTTGTAATTGTGTTTTGTTTGTGATATGTACTGTACCTAATATTAAAAGTAGGTTGTTGTTGTCAGTACAGCATAATATTGTGATATATCCCCAGATATTATTCACCAACAAGAATTTTCACATCTACATTTTGCTTAAACTTTGTCATTATACAGTACTGTACATCTCTCCTGAATTTCTCGGCCATGTTCATAACATTTCTCTCTTTACTTTTATCTTGTTTGCCACTGATCGGCTTGTTAGCCACTTGAGCGATTGGTCACGTCTCTGACACGCACTGTTGGCAAGTACTTAGCAACACTCCCATCAGATTTGGTTCCTATGGCTGCATTCAGTCTATGTTGTTGCATGTGTCATATTCTTAGTAAACAGTATTCAACTCAAATGGTGAATCTGTGAAAGACTGCTTGCTCCTGTATACATCTGTGGCACTTTCTGTTTATGCGAGAGGTCCTGAAATTTCTTTTTTGTTTTATCAAAGCATGAAACTATAAAACAAAAGAGTGTGCAAGCTTATAGGCTGGCAGGCCAGAGAGTAACCTTTGGTCATATGTTTGACAAGGCTGCTCTAGTCTCTTGGAAGAATAGTTTCTGAGATGCTGGTATCTGATGGAGGTGTGTTCTGTGTGTGCAGTTTGGTTGGAGTCTTGGCATGAAAGAGGCAGGTTACCAAGTGTATGTGTGTTTGAGTTTGTGGATGTATGTTTAGGGAGCGGTAGTTGGGATATATAGTGTGTGGGAGAAATGTGCTGCAGTGCATTTTTTCCTTTTTGAAAAATAGGATAATTATTTTAAATTGCCAGGAAGAAGGGGATGTTATGCCAAGGCTTGAAATGAGTGACCAAGTATGGCAGGAATTTTTAATTCAATGTTCTTGTATTTAGGTAATACTTATGGTGGTTGTGCATCCTCTTATATATTCTGAGGGTTTTTAGTCTTATTGTTCGTGTGCTTTAGTAGTTTATAATATATTTGTTGTCTGAAGATTGTGGAAGTGTCCAGTGTTGTTGAGCTTGATAATCATGTTGTCTGGTATAAGGAGTGTTATTATATACTGTATTCTGAGGGTGCTACATGTATGTATGTTGACAGTCAGTGGAGTTTTAATATTGTGGGAGGCTGTTGCCAAGTCATCTGCATAGGAGACTGTGTTAAGTTGGGTGGTGGGGAGGAAGTCAGAAGAGGGTGGGGGGTAAGAACAGATGCCTGCCTGGTGTTTATATGGGTATGAGGTGTTTCTATGCGAAGAGATTTCACTTAGATGAGTCCCTACATCCAAGTGCCCCATATTGAGGGTATTCTCATTATGGAATCAACTCCTTCCACAGTTTTCGCCAGCTTGATTGAAGATTTCACATACTGTATTCGATGTTATTCAGCTTTTTGTTTTGTTTTTCATCCAGCCGATCCAGGTGGGGGATATAGCAAGCTTTTAAAATAGAAAGATGTACTTGAGTGGTTGGTTCTATTCTGAATACTAACTTTCCAAATTACAAGGGGGCAGTGTGGCTAGCATTGCACATACCGTATATACTCGTCTATAATCCTCCCTCGTTTATAGGTCGACCCACGTTTTTGAGGGTAATGGAACAACAAAACCTTCAGTAAAAACGTTCTACGTCCTATAAACCGAGGCTCGCCATGCCCGAAACACCGAGTGCCGAAGGCAAATTGTTTACCATTTATTATTACGACACTTTACACTGAAATGCGGGTAGTTTCAACAAAAATGTCGTTTATTTCCATTCAAGTATTTATTCAAGTCAATTAGGGGGGGAATATTATTGTAATACAACAGTTTTTTAACCGAAAACCATTCAAAAAGCGATTACGGTAACATCTTTTAAACGAAAGAAAGCGAAAGTCGTTGTTTTCGTCACGATTTTATCCCACTTTCCACTGTAATACGTATGTCATTTCAGCAAAAATATTACATTTCCGTGAATGTATTATATCAAGCACAGTATGAATAGAATATCATTGTAATATAACAGTATTTTAACCGAAAACTATTAAAAAGACGAGTACAGTAACATCTCTCGAACATCGGAAGGTTAGGTCAAGTCTTTTGTTTTCGTCGTGTATTTTATCCTATTTTACATTGAAATACATCACGTTTCAGCAAGACTACTATTTATTTCTGAGAATATATTCATTCAGGCACAGTTAAGATAAAATATACGTGTGATGTAACGGTTTCTCAACCGAAAAAGATTCGAAAAACACGTGTACCGTCTAGCTGATACGCAACAGCTGGTGGTGCATCATGCATCGTTGTAAACAATAGGAGGTTGAAGTAGATTACTGGGTATTATTTTAAGTGTGAAATATCGTAAAGGGTTTTATTACCGGTATTTTTCGTAGATCGACGAGAACTGTGATACCGTATATGATATGATAAGTTAGCCCGTGCTAAGAACTTCAACATAGACTACTGAAAGCACGTTGTAAGGTAATTTAGCCTGTTGTAAGTTGGTGAGCTTCATCTGCTGAAGGAACTGCACAACTTTTCATTACTAATTGGTACATATTTTACGTTTCCATTGTTTAATGGCAGTAAATGGTAAATATTTTTCATGTCCGAAGCTAAAAGTTGCTCCTCGCCCTTCCCGTCGTGCACGGGTTCAACCCAACAAAACTATTACCCACGTAGAGGTCGACCCACAATTTTTTGCCAAAAAATTTGGTCTTAAAGAGTCGAACTATACACGAGTATTCACTTCCTCATCTGTAGATTCCATGTCACAGTTTGGTCAGTTTCCTACAGATGACACTCCTCTAGTAGCTGATTTGGAAATGTGTTCAAAGTGAAATTTCATGGTTAATGTAAACAAAGGTGAAATGATGAAAATAAGTTGAGACGGAGAAACAAATATTAGTTTGAACGTACGGCGCGATACCCGCATACACGACGAAGAATTTCAGAAACGGAGTAAATGTTAGAATGAGTGATGAATTGATGTATAAAGTAGCAGAAAAAATAATAGGTGGGTTGAGAAATGTAAGAGACCATGTTAAAGGGGATCATTCCTTGTTTACAGTTCCTGAGCTTGTTCAGGCACATCACTAGTCATTTTGGTGACTAATTTTATATTTTATCATGGTTACTGTCCAATGTTGCTCTTTATCAGTGTTATGTTGTAGAACACAAACGGGGTTTACTTACAATCATAATCAAGTTGTAGTTACTGAACTTTAATAAAGGGAAAACTTTGAGAGGAATATGGTGTAGGCTCATTCAACATTTATTAATATAAATTACTGTGCATACAAACATTTATTAAGCTACAAGAGTTAGGTCATCATTCTGGTACCCTGCACACTGTTGTATTTTTCAACATTCCTCTGTGAGTAAGAAGTGTATCATACTTACATTTAACTAATTGTTTACTATCTGGTGCTTAAGGCCTTCAGAGGTTTCTTAATAAAAAAATGAAATGAGATCAAATTCTCATGGATCTAATAACCTCTATTCTCAGAAGTGACAGCGAGTCCCATATCCACGACAGGCGAAGAAGATGTGGAAGAAATCGAGGATGAGGAAGATGAGGAAAGAAGGAGAGAACAGGAGGAAGAGGGAGAAGAGCAATACAAGGATGAAAATGACTTCCTGAGACCAAAGTCAGAGAGCCCACTTCATGAGGAGTTGGATGTAGGAACTTTGTAGTGTATAGTTTCTGAAACATAATTTGAAGGTTTCTCTGTTCTCGGCAAGTGAGGTGTTGGTCAAACTTGCCTTTATATGTCTGTGTTAAGAACAAATTAAACTTGCTGCTGAACACTTCTATCTTCATATGTTTCAGAATGATGGTCAATCCTACCGTAACAACGACTCTTACATATCTGACAGATTCACCTTCACTTTCAAATGGCATTAATTTGTCTCACAAAAACAATCTTAAGATAAATAAATATCATATATATTAATGCTAAAGACAATATACAGATTTTAGAGGGTTTCTGTCAAGTTTACAATTATGAATAAAAAATATATGCACATTTAAAAATTTGATACCAATATATGTGTCCTGTAGTTATCTCAACATATTTTTGCTAAAACACAACTAATCGTATACCAAAGACACTGTACAAAAAATACATTAACTTACATTTTTACCATGTTATATGTTGTCCAAAACAATTGTACCTTCAGGAAAAAGTATCAGTTGATTCAAGTCACAAGCAAAGCACATGTTAATGTACTTTTTTGTGTGTATCAGACTCTAATGTAACATTACAAGAATGACATTTCCGTAAGTTTTAGATTACTGTACTCTGCTACACATACAGTGTTAATTTTAAAGTAGATATTTTGTCCTTTATATGTGATAAATACCCTATGAAGGTAGAATTGAAACCCTTATATACTTTTACCATGGCATTGTACAAACATTTATTAAAGTGTAATGATTAAGAAACATGATCAAGATCAGCTTTATGTGCTGCAGAATGCAGTAGTATCAGGGAGCCTGTGTCAGAATCTCATAGGGAGTGGTTATTTTATTGTTTGTTTTTTTACATGGCTGATATCATCCATTCACTTGCATAATATGCAGTGTCTCTCAATTAGAAATCCTGTAATAATTGTATGTTCACATTCCTGATAAAAACTAGTTAAACCAAATATCAAGTTCTTGACTCATAATAAGTGGTTGTAGATGTCAGAAAACCTACTTTGAGAATCACTGCATAAAAACATGAAAATGTTTGTATGTTAGCTAATAGTAAACTGAGCTTATGATTTACAGTGTAACAACGAATCACCTGATAAATAATTAAGATTGATTGTTAAAAGAAACCAGAAATACACAATTGAAAGTGATCAGATTTGTCCAGCCTTAGATATTGTATAAACCATAGAAAGTAAACATAAACTAGATTATAGCAGTAATCCACTGGGGCCAAATGTGGTCAATTATATGACCTCTAGACTAACCATCATCTTGCACTACTTTAAGAATTCTGACTTTGTCAAATAGAAACCTGTAATACCCTAGTGAGATTGTAAGACCAAGTCTTAGAAACCAAAGCTCTTCCTCAGCCCTATACCCTCTTCCTCCTCCTGTGATCTCAAGAGTGCCAATTCGCCGCCGGGGTTCCTCATCACGAGCTACAACAGCAGAAACGAACTACTACGACGAAGTGACCGACACTCGGCGTATGCCTCGAGAGACTATCGTGGCATAAACTAAAATAATGTGTGGAACTAGCTAACTGTGATGTATTCCCACGACAAAGGGGTTACGTGAACAATGAAGTGAGAGCAGGATGCCGATACGAGTGTCGAAAATCATCGCGAGTTTCGAGCACAAGGGAACCAAAGAATCCTCATTCATCTCGTGAGAATCAGATTCTTAGTCTGAGATATTTGTAAAGATACTCCCTGTATAAAGGAAGAGATTTTATTTTCAGAAATCATCAAGACTTCATTTACGAATTCAGGTATCTGTAACGAAGTATACGATGCTGTGCAACCGATCTTATACGTTAGGTATACGACTACACAGTTTAAGTAGGTTATATGTAATGTTAGGGGCTAGTATGTAATATGATTATTAGTTACAGAATCCCTTCCATTTATAATAAATCCCTCAGTACATATTATCCTGCGTACATACAAATGAATATTCTTTGGTTCCATGTGTTTTTAATTTAAAAAGAAGTGTCCCCAAAAGTATACCTTTGTGGAAGCGTGGTAGTGAGCCCTATCCCATTTTCTAAGGTGGAAAAAAGACCAGATATTTCCATTTTCTGTGGTGACGTGACCCTTACCTGAATAATTTGTGACCCAGAAAATATTTAGTGGTGACCCAAATGTTGAAAACTTGAACCTTGTAGTGACCTTGCCTGCCCTTAATGTACCTGGAGACCGTGCTTGATGAACTGGCCATTATGGTCCTTAACTAGCCAGCCATCACGGACACTAACGAGCTTGTTGCGCGCCCGTGTTTATAGCAACGTTTTGAAAGGAAAATGTGTAAAAAAAAAAAAGTCCAAAAAGATATTCATGTTACTTCTTCTAAAAGCATTTTATTGGTGACGTATTTGGCTATTTGTGTGCTTTTGCGTGTTTGTTTAGGAATATGCGACGTAACGAGTGACTCGGAGTCATAAGCGAGGGTACTTTAAGGCTAATTTACCCAGAGCCTTAAGTGTTCCTTCCAGAAGACTCTGTCACTTTGAATACGACACATATGATAACATGAAAGGTGCATACTTTTAAGCACAATATGATATGCATAATTCTGTGATAATTTTTCATGTGATCTTTTCTCTTTTTCTATTTAATTGCAACGAACAAACGAAAGCAATAATATGCAAACGGGACTGCAAAGTCAAAAAATCAAACAATAGCTGCGCCAAGCGTACTTAGTTTAATATGGATTCTTTTGAGAGTTAATGAGGTGACTGGAGGACAATTTCATTCAAGGCCAGGACAAAACAGCACTAGTTCAAGTAGTCACATTCTGTACTTAAGTTTCATCCTTTGTACAACATAGGGAACTGAGTTACAAGAATGTTTTTGAATAATGTACTGTACTAGGAAAAGATATTTTAATGAATAATACATTTGTATGAAAATTTCTAGCTGTCATGAACTTTCTTCCAATTTACACATTAGTGCAATTTATCATATATCCAGACATTTAATTAAATATCTCCCTCCAGTTGCCTCATTCCCATTGTTTCAGCACAACGATGCCAACAAGGACGCTGGTTGAACTTCCCAAGGGTAATTATCCAGTTTCTGAGATTTTCAGCACGACTTTCTCCGTTGTTGTGATAGGAGGTCCACACTTTGAGAATCCCATAAAGTTGATAATTACTGTATCCTCTATTTTCCTGAGGCCAGTTCACTTGTTACATTCCATATTACTTGCAGTTGTCCTTCTTACCCTCATGAGCATTAAGTAAAGTATCCTGGTTACATGTGTGTTTTAATATACCTTTGATTATACTACTGTACTTAACACTTTGGTTCCAAGATGGGTGACTAAAGGGTTAGCCATGGGTGTCTCAGGTAGTAGGTATTAGTACGACGAAGCTTTAAAAGGTAATGCAAGTCAAGGTTTCATAAGAGCAACTACACAATTCAGTGTATGGCAGTGCAACTTTGGCTTGTGTGGACATTTACATTGTTGATGTGTGAGGTTTTGTTGTATGGATTTTTGAAGTTTCCTGGTTTATTCTCCCAAGTCTGATCAGTGTGGTACCAGGTCTGTAACCCAACATTGTTCCAACCTTGGGTATTCAAGTTGATCTTCCACCACAATTTTTGATGCCCAAAAGTACTGCACTATATTTATCATTTATACAGATTGTTAATTGGGAAGGAGAACTTTGAATTTAATATTCCTGTCGATTTTGATATAGCAAAGGAAACGGTATGTGTAGAAAGAGCAGAAGAAACTGCATGGGAGAATCAAAGAATTAAGGTGGTTAAAACTATGTTGTTAGAATTGAATAGGTTGGAATCACGACCACAGTGTCAATTCTTCCAACTTTTGACAAGCTACAGGACCAGATGGACTCATTTGAGCAAGTGGCTAAGAATGCCATGTGTGCCTGGCCCATTGTCATCCCTTTACTCACGTGTTGGGCATTTGAAATTTATATTTACTCCCAAGGCAGAAAATCAATTACAACCAGTTAAAGCAAGCTTTGTTCAAGGCTCGATTGCATCCAAAGGTTATAAATGTAGCGTCAGGAGTGAAGTTACAGAATGATGTAAATGCTTTACAGTTAACAAATCTCTGGTGAAGCTACCAAGTAAATTGATTGAGCTAGATGGTTTAAAGGTTTCTTCGAGGATTTGAGCCTCGGCCCAGACACGTGAGACACTACCAAACACCATAGGTTTCCCGGACTTTAGTTTCCTCTTTTACCGCTCAAATGGCTAGTAAGCCGATAAATAGCGAAAGGGATTTAAAAAAAAAAAAAGTTCCTTGGAGAAAAAAAATTGTCAAGTGTTCTGTAGATAGTGACCTAAAATTACTTAACCTGGTTTAAGTGAATTTGCGAAGTTAATGTCATGGACTATTGTCTCAAGATTAGTCCAAAATTTAAACCATCGGAAAGACACAGTATTCAACTCTTAAAGCCCTGTCCACGCGATCGAGCAGTGCCCGGCGGGCTTTGCCCGATTACCGGGCAAAGCCTGTGTGTTGTCGTACACACGGGGGTGGTTGGCGGCAGTCATAGTGGGGCGCCGGTAGCTAGTAGGTGGTCGACAGCGGCGGGTGCGGTACGATCACCGCGGTGTGTCGCAGGAATAATCGCCGGACAGTTAAAGCGAAGAGCATAGCGTCGTGTACTATAATAATTGCTGCTCTCTGCAAAAAGAACCACCAAATGCAGAAAAAGGAATGGTGCAGAGTGGTTAGGTCAAAGAAAAGTATTGGGAAGTCATGCCACTATTTTACGTGAACTGCAAGATGGACACGAGCTAGACTTCACCAATTACATGAGAATGGACCCCAACACCTTTTACAAACTTCGAGCGAAAGTGGAACCATATACAGGTATAAAAAAAAACAGGATGCCAATATGAGGGAGAGTATATCTGCAGAGGCTCGTCTAGAGGCAACGCTCATATATCTTTCAACTGGGTGCACCTACACGTCACTTCAGTATAGAACGAGGATATCAAAACAAAGTTTGTCTCGCATAATACCTGCCATGTATGAAGTACTCAAGGAAGATTACTTGCAGGTGATATTTGTAGTACATAAAAATTCATTGAATAATGTTAGAATTATGATATGCATAGAGAGGAAGCTATGGGACTAGAGTGAGGAGAGCGGCAGGAACGAAGAACACACACGAATGCCCTCATTACATAATACAAAAACAATCTCCCGTTTATTGTCACTCCAATAATGTACATTGCATAAGCTTATTTGGTTATACACTGGACATCTGGATCGAGTGGGGAACATACACTTATCACATTTGCAGTACTTGCTGCTGGTACCTATGTGCTCAGTGACTACACGTGTTGAGAGCCCATCCACCCCTGTTCTCCGCATCGATGGACTACCACGAAGCCATGCACGTGGACTGCGGATCTACGTCAAGAAGGACGTCCCCTACCAACCTCTCGACGTCCCCCTTGACGACACCACCGAGACACACGCCATCACAATCACACTAAAAGGTATGTCCCTCAATATTGTCAATGTCTATGTGCCTCCCTCCACTACTACTGTACCTGTCCTACCACACCATATCACCTCCACCCCCACCCTCCTTGTGGGGGACCTCAATGCCCTACACCCCAGTCTCGGCTCCCAGGGGCCCCACTCAAACTCCCGGGGTAACTCCTGGCTCTCCTACCTACAAACCACTGATGACCCTGTACGTCTTCTTTGCCCACCCTCATCGGGGGAGGGAAACTTGACTACATCGCTCTCTATTCTGACCCTCACCGCCCAATTTCCACCTGCATCCTCCACTCCCCCCTCAGTGATCATTTCCCTATCCACACTACCCTCCAGTACGTGAGAATACCCGCTCCACCCAAGGGCCCTAGGCTCAGCCTACCCCCTGCCAACATACCTGCCTTCATCACTACCATTGCTGAATGGTTTCAGGGTTACACTGTCACCACCGCAGACCATCTCTACCTTGATCTGTCCAAACAATGCACTGACCTCCTCCGCCCTGACCCAAAACACCGCCGCCAGGAGTCAGTGGAACGTTAACCGTGACCCTCACGTTAATTCTATCCGAGTATGGCACCGACTAGCAGTCGACCAGTGGAAGAAGTCTCCCAGCTCCCCTGACGCTCTACACTTCCTGATGCGCACAAATAAAGAGCTCCAATCTGCCATCACACTCTCACGAGAGAAGCAGTGGTTTGATTTTGCTTCTTCTATTGACCAGTCTACATCTTTAGGTGATATATGGCGCACCATTAACCGTGCCCGGGGCACCAACGCTAGACCCGCGCTCCACCCTGGACCAGCTGCCCGAGCTGAGGCGCTCTCCCAGACGTGGCAGGAAGCCGCCTCCATTGATGTGCTACCACCCGCTGTATGAGACCTCACTCTCGCAATGCAACCACAACGCCGACAGTGCATCTCCGAGTACCAAGACCTATCTGCAGACACTGACGTGCCTTTCACACAGTGTGAACTACTAAATGCTGTTAAGCGTGGTCGGTCCACCACCCCTGGCGATGACGGCGTCACATACGATGTGCTAAATGCCCTTATTGCCACCCCTGGTAACCCCCTACTGTGTCTATTTAACCTCTCTTTTGATACCGGTCAGCTGCCTCACTTATGGAAGACTGTCACCACCGTCCCAGTCCCTAAACCAGGCAGACAAGGTGAATATCGTCCAATATCCCTGCATGATACGCCACCGCCTTCACTGGAAAATTGAATCCCACCTGCACCCTGATCTCTATGGTTTCTGCCCCGGAAAGAGCACTGCTCACTGCACTGCTCACTACATGGCAAACACCTCAGCCAAAACCTCCCTCTTCGTCTACTTCAAGGGTGCTTTTGATAAAGCCAACAGTGAAGTGATCCTCGAGGGTCTCACTCACATGGATGTGAAGGGCAAACTCTTCACGTGGAATGCTGACTACCTCTCCCATCGACAGGCCTGTGTCCGTTATCAGGGCCACTACTCTACGATCAGGGACCTTGATCTTGGCACGCCTCAGGGAAGTGTACTCAGCCCTACACTCTTTAATGTTCTCATGAACTCCACCTGCCGCCTCAACGACATCTTTGCTGAGCGCGCCCTAGACGGTCACATCATAAGCTACGCTGATGATATTCTCCTCCAAATTACTACAGTGCAACATGAACAACCTATACTCTCCACGTTCGTCCGGACCTGTCAAACACTCGGGCTAGTCATCTCACACACTAAAACCAAGTTCATCTCACGCTTCCGACGTCAGACACCGCTGACTCTGCAAGGACAAGACATCGATCAAGTACGCACCTACAGGTACCTTGGTCTACCTGTGCGAGCCACTACCAGTGCCACCACCTCCGCTGTCGCCGCCCACGTCATCTCCCAGTGCCGCCAACGAACGAGGCCCCTCCAGTCCCTCGCTCACGGCTTCAAAGGAGCCTCTGCCAGGGTCCTACGTCTCATGTACATTGCTAGCGTTAGAGCTGTCATAGATTATGCCTCTCCTGTCCTTGTAGTTGCCTCCCAGCGCGAGAAACAAAGCATAGAGAAAATCCAAATCAGAGCGATGAGACTCATCCTCGGCTGCCCTATGACCACCAGAATAGAAGTCATGCAGCGTGAACTGATCCTGCTTCCCGTCTGCGATCGAATTATTGCTCTCAATGCCATCCTAGGTGTTAAACTTCTTCGCAGTGAGCAACCTACTCCCCTGTCGCGCTCACTGAACTCATCTTAATGCCCTCCTGCGCCGGCCTGTCCCCATTACCTTTCCCTCCTCCTCTCAACACTGGCCCGTCCACACTGCTGCTGACATCCTGTTTTATCACCTCTACACCCCCTCGACATCTCTCCCTCCCGAGTACACTCATCCGTCTCTACCGCCGTGGACCTCCCCGAGTGTTGATGTTGTCGTCCACACCTTCCCTTGTCGTAAATCCACCCAACTGCGGTATATGCTCAAACTTAACCGCCTTGAGCAAATTAATGTTGTCGCCTCCTCTCTTAAGACCTCCCACTCTCCTATCCTCGTCTACTGTGATGGGTCTGTTACCACGCTGGGCAGCTGTGTGGATTCCTGAGCGCCAGGCTTGCAGGAAAATTAGAGTCTACGACTGGGCCTCCTCCACTGATGCCGAAAGCATAGCCATCCTTGCGGGCATTCATGAAGGGGCGACCTATGCTCGCACTGAACCTCCTTATAATCAGTGACGGCACTTCTGCGCTAGCGAGGCTCAAATTACCCTCCCCCTCCTCCCCTGCCGCCCAACACAC